CGCGCGCACCCGCTTTAGTGGCACTAAGTGTCCCCTCGTCCACGTCAGGACGGGGCTGGTTGCTGTCTCCCCCCGTCGTTTTGCCCAGCCCATCAAATTCCTGCCCTGGGCTGCCCGCGTTGCTCCGCGCGGCGCTGCGGTGTGCGAGCCCAGGGCCAGAAACCTTCGGGGAGGTGGTGACGGGCGCCCTTGGGTATTCAGGAGATGTTGGGGCTTCTGGTGTAAAGATGAGCTCGTCTGTCCCAGCAGGAGGAGGATTCCCTGCAGATAGAGGAGAAGATCAAATGGGGCGACGGCTTCGCTGTGGTCTACTCGGTGACGGACCGGTGCAGCTTCGACGAGGTCATGCGGCTGTGTTTCCTCATCAACCACATCCACTCCAGCCCCAAGCGGAGCAGTGGGGGCGAGCAGCCCCCCGTGGTCATCGTGGGCAACAAGAAGGACCTGCAGTTCGACAGGATGGTGTCCACGGAGGACGGCGAAAACCTCTCCAAAGCCCTGAAGCTTCCTTTCTACGAGATCTCCACCCGGGACAGCTATGAGGAGACGGTGGCGGTGTTCAACACCCTCTACCAGGAGCTCATGAGACAGGGGCACTTCTCCCCGGGCTCCTTCAAGAGGAGGACAGTGTCGAAGCTGATGGAGAAGATCCCGAAGATGCAAGCCAGCTCCACCTTGAACTCAGCGGGCCGGAGCCTCAGCTTTAACTCCTTCAGGGACTACATCCCCGAGTGAGCGTCCCCGGGGCGGAGGCGAGAGCGACGGCCAAGCCGGGACCGAGGGACAGGTTACCGGCCGCTGCTTCAGCCCCAGGGCGGAGGGGCAGCTTGTGGGGCCGTGCTGGCGCCCAGGAGACCCTGCTGCGAGGGCGGCCGCTGCTTCAGCCCCAGGGCGGAGGGGCAGCTTGTGGGGCCGTGCTGGCGCCCAGGAGGGGCAGGTTAAGAGGTGGGGAGGGTGGGACTGGGGTACAACAGCCTTTTAAAGCCTGTAGCTTTGTACAAACGGGGTTTGTGTCAGCAGGGAAGAGGTTGTTCGTCTGTCTCACCCCTTTGCTCCCGCTTTCTCCTCCTGCGCGGCTGAAGTCAGTAGCAAAGGTGGTTCGTGGTGACTTCGCTGGTGCTGGGTTGACCCTTGGAGGCTCAGAAGGGGATCAGACCCAGCACAGACACGTCTGTGTGGGTTTTCCTGCTCCCCTGAGAAAGCTTGCTGGGTCTGTCTGTGCCCCGAAGCGTGACCCACAACGCCGGGGTGACCCCGAGGGTCGCGCTGGCTCCTGGGCTGTCGTCAGCTGTCCCTGCCCTGGGGAAAACGGCCATCGCTTCTGCTGCTCGGCGTTGCTGGTGGGTAAAATCCCCAGTCCCCTGGCAGCTCAAAACCTTTCCAGCCTGGCTGGCTGCTCCGGGGGGTGGCCACTGCTTACCCACCCCTCAGTGTCCCCAGACCCTGGCAGTTCGGTGGGCAGCGGGGGGCTCTGGTCCTCCCCGAAGAGCCAGGCCAGCCGGTTTGCCCATCTGCAGCCTCCAGCGTCCGTCTGTCGGGTTTTCCCCTGGGTTTGTGGAGGGGGAGCCGCTGTGGAGAGGCAGACCCCCACGTCCCACCACCTGCAGAGGAGCTGCAGGGCCCCGGCTCTGCTGGAGCCCCTCGCCCTCCCTGGCTGCTCACGGGCTGGCACCCAGGGCGTGTTTAAAAGCGAAACAGCTCTGCTTGCAGTGGGGGGAACCAGAAGCCTGTTGACGCCTGGCTTTTCTAAAACACCCTTTTGGACCGTTTGGGGGCCCCTGGCACACCCTCCTTTGGGAACGCTGTACGTGAGGTCCGGGGCAACGGGCAGCGAAGGCAGCAGACGCCGCTGCTCCGCCTCGGGCTGGAGGCACCCGTGCTCGGTGCTTTGCTGGGGTTTCTGCCTTCGCCGCGTCTGCCCCTTATTTTACATCCCCCGCTCGCTCGGGGCCGCCCGTCTCCG